TAGCTTCTGGAGTCTGTCAGAGGTTTTTCCAGCAAAAAAACAATCTGCTTTCCACAGGCAGCTCTGTGGATACAGCTGTGCCAAGTTTCTGTCAAACAACTGCTTTAATGAAATTTGAAGTCTGAGTCCAGATTTTTTGCTCAGACTGCAAGGAGAGACACTGCAGCACGGACTAAAAGCCTGTCTAGCTTCATGCTCTTTTCCTATCTAGTAAGTCCTTGCTGTGAGGACTTGCTTTTAAATGGCTTCAAGGAGGCATGAGACAGCTGGGGAGCTTCTTCCAGGCGCTCTGTGCATCACCTCAGCCTTCAGAGCCCTGGGAGTGATGTGCCATTCCCCCAGGACCAGTGCCCAACAATAAGCTTCCAGAGGAGAGCAAAAAGACAGGGGATTTGCCTATCACAGCATAAACCCCTGCATTGTGGATTTGGAGAAGTTCAAGCTGAATGTGAGTATGCAAAATCACAACATCCTCAATTAAAACACTAACTGGTTCCTTTTTTGTTTGGTTGTTTTACACGCACGGTGCTGCTTTTCAGACTGGTTAAACACAGATTACAAACATGCAGGAAACAGCCTGTGTCAGTACTACCTTCACCTTGTAGCAATTGCCTTTGGAAATTAAAGGAATCAATATGAATGAATAGGCTTACAAGCTAACAGCAAAGAGAAAATGAATGACAAGGAAGGAGAACCTCGTGGCTGGTCAGGACTGAAGGAGTGCTCAGATCTCAGCACTCAGCTGAAGGCAATGCTCAAAGAATTCCCAAGGCTGAGTGCCCAGTTTGAGCCACCACGGGAGGCTCTGGCACTTGGGAACTGATGAGCAGTCACACCACAGCACCTCAAGCTTTACACCCAAAACATCAGGTACTTTGGAAAGTCATGGATGTAAAATCTGAAGATAATAAGTAGGAGCTTGAGCAAAACTCAGTTTGACCTCTCTGGAAAATAAGTACTAAAGAAGTTTATCTATAAAATACCAGCAAAAGGAGGTGACAGAGGAAGAAGAGACCAGGTAAGAAGTTTGCACCCCTGACTATCATTATGGGAGGGGAGGAGGCCACATTGACCTTCAGACACTAGACTGAGCTGCTGGGCTTGGTAGCTCCTCTATCAAATGAACCAAACTTTAAATATCGAGTGAAAAAAATATACCCTGATACATACCAGGCAATTTTCCCTCTGCACATTTTAATCAATACAATAAGCCACTTCTGCTAATAACTGTTGTTCTTTAGATAACCACGTGGGTGACTCCTCAAGGTGTGAGCCTCACTGGGATACATCCTCACTCCAACTATGTCTCATCTCATTCTAGATAAGACAGCCACCCAGTACAACACATGTCATTTCATTCTGCCCCATTTTTCCTACCAAGGTGCTTGAATTTCCTGGCAGTCAGTACATTGTAGTGTTCTGCACGAGGAGCAGATACAGCGCCCACTTATCCAAGCATGGAGAGAAGAGCAGAGCAATGCACTGCAGCTGATACACAGTTCTGTAGGACGATGCTGTGTGTTCCCAAATCAAGCAAAAAGTCAACAGAAAATGACATTAGGTATTGGGCAGGGACATAGATGTACTTCCAGTCCTGCAAAAGCCCAGTAAGAGCTTATCTCCACTTTCTTCTATCAGTTTTCAGCCAAGCATACAACTGAACAAAGCTTTTACCTCTGCTTCTACCCAAGAGTGAAACTACCCCTGTTACTCACTGGTGACTCAAAACTCAACAATGTGCTTGCAATGTATCTAAGCCAGAAAGGGCTAATTTACAGCTCTCAGCCTGCTGCTGTGGTATACAAAGCTGGGCCATGGCCACTCATGACCATCCAAAGGTTTTTGTGGTTTAAGTTTCTCACCCAAGGCTCTTTGGATCAACACTGTGGTGGTGTAGGAACATCCCGGAGTCTGGGACTCAGTTCACCCTCAGGGACTCCCCAGTGGTACAGAAGTTGTCCATGGAGGTGGTGGAGTCACCACCCCTGGAAGTGTTTAAGAAGCATCTGGATCTGGTGATGTAGGATATGGTTTAGGGATTCCAGCAGTGACAGGTTAATGGTTAGACTTGATGATCTGAGAGGTCTCCTCCAGCCTGCTCTGCTCACTGCTCCTGAGGCATGGGTCAAGGTGCTGGCAGACAGAAGATGAGAAGACAGAAATAGACTTTTTTTCTTGGTTGGGTGGGGTTTTTAGTCTATGAACAGCTGATAAATTTTCCCTGGGCAATTCCAGAGCACCCCTCCAACTTCTCTAGCCTTTGCCAAGTGTCATACAGAACCAGGCAGCCACAATGGGGTTTCTGAAGGATACAGAAGCCAAATGCAGGAGGCAAACACCACTGATTTCCCAAGGAGTCAAACAACATTGGAGGCAAGAAGAAAAAAGGACAAGCTGGTCCTGCAGCACTTCTTCCCTCTTGCTCTGAACTTCACAATTCTTCATGCAACCAAAGCAGAGTGATTCCAGAAGTAGCAGTTCAAAATCAAGAAGCTCCAAATGAGCAAACAGCCTGTCCTTGTTATGGCTCATACATCAGCATCCTGCCATGCTGAGGCTGAGGGAAGCTCCCAGAGCCTGCCCAGCCTCTGCTGCTGCTGGAATCAGCAGCATCAAAACCTCTTGATGCTGCAGAAGGAGGGTTGGCACACACCAGCTCAGTGCCAGTGCTGGATGGAGGTGTCATCCGTGGTGAGGTACCCAGGGCTGTGAGCTGGGAACAGCTCATGCTGTTGCAGTGACTGGACTGCAGCGAGGCGGGGAGAAAGCTAAATATATATTCCTGCAAAAAGCAGCAGTCCCCTGCTCTTGTTTAGCATCTGTTGAGAGGCACAGAGGGACTCTAACTAGAGAAAGGAAAATACAACCTAGCACACCATCCTCGAGACACCCACAATGTGTAATGTGCCCACAGCTGTCAGTACTGCAGTAGGGTCAGGAGATCTGCTACTGTCAGAGGTCACATCCATCCCAGTGCAGCCTGCTGCTATGGCAGAGACCCAGCAGTGCTGGTCTGGAGAGCACCTACATGAGCAGAGCTCCAGGCTGAGTTCAGCAACCAGGGCATGTAGGCTGATAACTGTCCCAGTATAGAATAAGCAGAAGTTGAGACCAGAAAAGGGCCAAAAAATTAATCTTCCATCTGCTTGTAGGAAGACTGTCCTTGCCTCATCCTCCCAACGAATCAATCATAAATAAATAACCAAAAAGAAACAACAGCAACAAACCCCCTTTAATTCTCCTGCTCCTGTTTCTCACAGGTTACCAGCCCAGCAGTGTGCTGCTCTGTCAGGCACTGGGAAGAGCTGTGGACAGAGTGGCTGCCCCAGCACAGTCCCTGTGTGCTCACAGACAGCTCTGGCAGGGCTGAGGTTGGAGCTCAGCCACTGCTTGGCACAGCTCCCTGGAGTGCAACCACAGCACAGGATGGAGGCAGGAAAATAGCACAGAGCAAAGCCTAAGCTGCATTATCCAAGGAAGCCAAACCAACTGAGCCCAAAACCAGTCACAGACACTTCTGGCCAGTCTGAGAGCAGAAGGAATGAAAAAGCTCTCCAAGCTGCCTGAGTGCAGGACCAGCTTTCGCTGCCTCTCAGCCTGACCCATGCAAGGAGAGTTGGCTGTGATTTGCACCCAGACCTCAGGATGCCTCAAGCTGCAGAGGGACCTGCCTTGCTTCCAGCCAGGCTCCTCCAGCACTCCATCAGGCAGGGATGGGGCATGGAAAAGAACTAAGACTCTGCTCCTGAACAACCCAAATGTCAGGTAAGTTCTAATTGAACTGAGACCTAGGAGTACACAAAATTAAAATCCCCTAGAATTGTGTTTTTCTGACCGATGACAACTAGGTGGAAAAAAAATCTTTATTCAACCCTAACATCACAAGCACATACAAGTTTCAAAGTGGCACAGTCAAACTGCTGGGATTCTGGAACTCAGAACACTGCAGGGATGGATGCTTTTGTCCTTGTCAAACCAAGGCAGCAACATTCACACACAGATACAGAACCACCCTGGTACTCAGCAGGACTGGATCCTAAAACCCAAATTCAGTTCATCTTCTTGCACCATGGATGGTACAGCATGTTCTGGCTGCTCAGCTTCTTGGCCTACACAGTCCAACCCAGCTTACTAGGGAGGTTTAGTCTGTGCTGTGTGGGAGACAATGGCTTTTACCTGCCTTCACAGAGGAGACTATTTGTCATTTAGGTAAAATACAAGAGAAAATCCACCCCCTTGGCACTATACTCCATTTTTGCATCACAAGTGACCCAGCACCTCACACAGCAGATTCTCAAGCTCTGTTTCAATGCAGGAAAGGGATTTGAAAAGGCAGAGCAAATCAATGAGCAGAAATTGGCATTTTTGTAGCCTTAGAAACTTGGAAGAGTCTGGGGAACAGAAACTACTGACTTCCCTGCATCATCTCTACTGTACTTACTAAACAAGATCCCACGCATAGAATAAACTCTACCATGTGTGTGCAGGAAAAAAAAAGATTTTCAGGGCCTTTTATAAATGAAATCTCCTTTGTGGCTGAAGAAAAAAAAATGTATTATGCTAAAACTAAAGTATCACAGAGGCTGCAGCTGCACAAACAAATAAATGCTGTTTACCAGCAGAGGTATTTACTTACTGACAGTCAAGAAACGTTGGCTTGTAATAAAACGGTGGCATTTTAGATTCGTATTTTGCTTTTGCTACATTGTTTCCATTTGAGGCCATAAACTGCAACAAAAAAAGAGAGAAAGAGACAGAAAAAATTAAAAAGTGTTAACAGTATCTTCCTTTATCCTCTTTTGCTTCTACAGAGTAATGAAGTTACTGGGATGGAGCATCTGTTCACTGACAGAGGTTTCCCCAGGACTGTGCACAGAAGGGATGCTACAAAGGCTGTGCCTGCAAGCCAGGGCTCAGAAATTGATATTATTATTGCCAGGGATCCCCCAGCTCAATACAACACTGAGGACAGGCCTAGGCCACAGTCACACCTGCACTGGGCAGGTGGGATTAGCCTTGAGCAACCTGCTCTGGTGGGAGGTGTCCCTGCCCAGGGCAGGAGGTTGGGGCTGGATGATCTCTAAGGTCCATTCCACCCCCTAAAAATTCTATGATTATGATCCCCACCAGTCCACACAGGAGAAGGCACCACGCACTGGCATGGGAATGAGATTGCTCCCAGGGAATCCAGCACAGATATTAAGTCACCAGAGGGCAAAACCTGACACTAAGTCTCCATGTGTTACAGCTCCAGCAAGGTGATAGTCTCTGACAACACACCCTTTGTTTTGGATCACATCACTTGTGCCAAAAGGGTAGTTTTATTTTTGCAAAGCCATGCCAGAACCCTCAGAAAGGAGCCTGAAGTAATAAATCACTAAATAAAAGTTCTCTCTGCCTTGTCAGCCTTCCTTTCCAACAAATATATAACACTTCTATCTGCCCTGCCAGCCCGTTTTTCCCTCTGATCTTGTATACAAATGGCTAGCTAAGAATCCTGCAAAGAAAACTACTTATTTCCTTATTCACAAATTGCATTTAATGAAAGTCACTTTATAAGTGTATAAACTCCATTCTTTTCCAGGCAGCCATGCTAAATACATTTTGTTCTGTGTCAAATGCCAAGCACATAAACATAAGCAGCTAAGCTTTCTTTCATTATTGTCATGTTTTGGAACTTCTCCCATTTACATATTCAACTTATCCCTAAAAAAAAAAAAATCAGGGAAGGAAAAACTCATGCAACACTAAGGCCTATTTTTCTCATAAAACACATGACTCCATGAGCTGTAGCTTTCAGAAAGACCTCAAATTGACACACAGAAGATAAAGATCAGTGAGTGGCAGCATTCTCCATGCCTTTAAGGACACCACTAGTCAAAGCAGAAAGGTTTCCTGGGCAGGTCTGCCTTTAGCAGCATCACCCAAACCTAGGCAGGTGTGTGGCATAAACAGGATTTATAATGTGAGGGTTCAGCTTCTCAAGATGTGAGTTTAAGAGGCTTCAACACCAAGTGGAACAAAGCCAGAAATAGCTAAGCTGGGCAGAGGTGGCAGACTGAAGGCCTAGTCCAATGCCTAGTCTAGGCTAAAGGTAATGTAAGAAACAGAAGACAATTATTTAAAATTAATAAGTTCTGTTTCGTTTACATTTTTCTAGGGGTGACGGAAACCCTCACAACTTCTTCACAGAATGGCTATTCTATTTCAATCACATCATGGACCTCATTCCCACCCTCAGGAATTACCCAGATGTGCTTTCTGAGATCACATTTCTTGGGACATCTTTAAGGGAAGAACCCAAACACTCAGGTGCACATACCTCCACTTGAGCACTCCAAAGGGAAGAACCCAAATACTCAGGTGCACATACCTCCACTTGAGCATCATCCCAGTCATCCAGACGGACTGACTTCACCTTGCTGACTTGGGGAATATTGCGATGGATTCCTGAACAGTTCAAGCAGATGAAGATCCCCAGGCTGTGGGATGCCCAGTCTGGGTCTGAAAGCAAGAAGGAAAGAGAGATTTGCACTTGACTGACCTTTTGGATTCAGCACAGGAGGACACAGAGACAGGGCAGGACAGAGCATGGCAAGGGAGTTCAGAAGTCACCAGGTCTGAGTTCCCTGGTTCTAAAGGCATCAAATAAATATCCAAGGAAAATAGGTATGTGCTAGTTTATATTGACACTAATACAAATTAAACCAACAATTAAGAGATCTACAATCTTGAATGCAGCTGTTATTCACAAAACCCCAACACACAGACAACTACACGTGCCTGCCAAAACTCACTCCATGCTCCCAGGATGAGGAGGATTTCCATCTTTCACCAGCAAATCCCACCCCAATGCTGCACGGAACAGAAGCTGCACAATTCAAACAAACAGCTCAGGGGAACTGGAAACTGCTATGCTGCTTCTTTGCCTTATTTTTACTTATTTATTATATGGGCTCCACAGAGAGACTTTCCTCCCACAGCCATGGCTCCCAGCAGCCCAGCTGTCCATGCCAGGAGGTTTCCAGCCCTTGCCTTAATGGAAAAATGCTGCCAGTGGCAGCTCTGTCCTTTCTCTGAGCAAAACCACGCGCTGTTTACAGCCCCGAGCTGACATCTCACACAAAGCACTTTAAACACAAGTTCCCTTGCCTGCAGATTCCGGCCTGGGAGAGCCACTGCCTGAAGCCTGGGGAGATGGAGAGGAACTGGAGGATGGCAGGGGCCAAGGGAAGGACACATCCACCACTGTCCCTGGCACTGCCTCACCGATAAATCTAATACAAGGATCTTTGTTTGAACTCTAACTGGCAAATGTCAGTGCTTGCGAATGCAGCTGAGCCCCAGCAGGAAGAGCTTCCTTGCAAGTCACCAAGGCAGCAGAGATGCCCTGACCCCATCCTCCCCAACCCACAGGGGTAGGAGCCCCCCAGCCACCCCATGGGCTGTCAAGGGGTAAGGGCAAGTCTCCCTTCTCACAACCCCTCATCAGCTGTGTATTCCCCTGCAGTAATTACACTAAACACTCACTCCTCACAGCACAGCAATTATTTATAACAGGCGAGGGAATGTGCTTTCTCCTCCTTATACATATTTCATGCTCTGGCTGTGTCAGTGCAGGGAGCAGCCTGGCATGGGGCAGTGCAGCTCCTCTCAGGGGGTACTCAGGGCAGCCACCAGCTCTGCCCATGGGAACGGCCACCAACCTCCCCCAGCACACCCTGGGGAAGAACAGTTGTGTTCCCCAGAGGTGGCTGTGCTCAGATGTAAACCCAAGAGCTAAATGAGCATCCTCACTGGATACAGCTGAGTGCTCACCCAGGAGAGGGGAGCCAATTCCCAAGCTCTTACAAGTCCCATCAGCCACAGCTCCCTGGGCACAGAGCTGGCTCCAGCAGACACAAATAAAGGTGGGGTTTTTCTGTTTCACACAGTTTCTCCTCCTCAGGCAAGATCCCAATGACTACAGCTCAGGCCTGGCAAGTATAGAACCAGTCAAGTTGATGTCAGGGCACTGCAGCAGCAGCCAGATGCTGCCCACATCCAGCCATGCCATGGGGTGCTCTGACCCCTGCATCCTCACCCTGCTCCTCCTATAAGGACTGAGTGATTTGGCTTCACACTCCATCCCAGGTCAGGCACCCCCACTTATTCCAACCACAAAGACCCCAGACAGTGATTAGGTTCCAGACAGGCAACAAGAATCAAGAGTTCTGCATTTTCATGCACATTTCTGGCTCTAACTCCTCATGTAATCCTCTCCCATTTCCACACATGTAACTGAAGTTTGGGACCTGCCAAACTTCCTACCACAAAACCATCCCAAGGTGCAGCACTGCTGCCCCATGGCAGCCCAGGGGACCAAATGATGCGAGTTGGACATGGTGGAAGTATCAGTGTCTTTTGTTTAAACATCCATCTCTGACTTTCATGCAGAGGATCAGGTACAAGGAAGGGCAAGAAGGTCCAGAGGATGGAGCAGCCACAGAGCAGTGATAAGGAAGCCATGGCAGCAAAGCTTGGAGCCAGGAGCTAACGTGGCCACTAGCTCACTGTGCTCAGCACAGCCTTCTGGTGTAATGAGATCTGCTCAAACCACTGCCTGACTCATGGAAACAGGTATCAAAGTATGCACTGGCCAATAAAACAGCTTTTATTGGGAGCCACACTGCTTGTTTGACCTTAATAGATTTATCTTAGGCATGCAGGTGGATTTCTGCATGTTGTCAGCAACTTCTTGAACTCAGGCTTCCAAAGTCCTCTCAAAGAGGTAAACCCTCTGCTAACTGCACTGCTGTGTGTGACAGGACCAGGAGACATCACAGCTTCCTCCAGCCAGCAATGGAAATTCAGGTGGTGGAACATCCTGCAAGAAGATCCTGGAGGAGACTCCAACTCCATTGCACACCAAGTCAGCTCATACCAAGCTGTCTCTCCTTGACAGGGGTAAACTGCACCTCAAGCAACAGGTTGCAATCACACCTGGGCTTTAAAACATTCTCCTCACACCAAGAGTATCTTCTTCAGACCAGACACTTAAAGATGCTTCCACCCTGCTCTGTACCATGCCAAGCCTTGTCTAAGAAACAAAAGCTAGATTATATCAGAGTGTATATGCACACATGTACTGCACTATATACACAGGGTCACACATGGGTGGTTTCCAGAAGATGACAGCACTTCAGCAGAGCAGGCAGAGATAATGGGGCTCAGGGCTGACCCAGCCCTTGGAAAGGATCAGTTTGGTCAATAAAACCACAGCCAACATCTCCTCCTTGTAACCTTCCTTTCAGTGTTTCCTCTCTTGCCTAGCCCCAGGTCCCATGTCCATGCAACACCACCAGGATCCCACACAACTTCCAGGAGCACCATGACAAAGCAACACATTTCACTTGCCTCACCAGAGCCAACACCAGCCGTCCACATCACTGCCATGTATTAATAGCAACTTCCTCTTCCTTGCCCTTCTGGTTTTAAAAATACATATCCCGAATCCAAAATCATATGGTAAGGGTGGATGGAAGAGCTGTAGATGCTCAGCTGGTTGTGTGCTGCTTTCCTGTCGCAGACCAGAGCTACACACATTTGGCAACTGGTTTTAGTGTCAAAGGGAACACGAGGCAGGAGGAGAGTTCAAATGCCTCAGGCACTGAGTTATCCCCAACTAAAAAATTGCTAAGTAGTGAACATGCCCCAGAACCAACTGATCTAACAGGGGAAGCCTCTCTGAGATTTCTCATGGCTCTTGCTCACTGGCCTGAAGACATCTGACAAAGTGAGACAGTCTCAGCCTTTCCCTGGCTTTCGTTGAAAGCACAGTCTGAACAAACCAGAGGATTACAGACCCAAGGAGCCCTGTGACCTCCCCATGCCATGGCTCTGCCCATGCACAGGAAGGAGAAGGGTGGAGGATTCCCCAGCTCCAGCTTCTGGAGGGCTCTGCCAATGCTGCTTCCCCTTCTCACCCACTCTCTACACTTGTGACACCATTTTCGAAGAAATCCAGAAATGAGACCACTACACCCACACATTGTCTGCAGGGACTGGTGACAGATCCCAGACAGGCAGCAGCCACCCAGGGCCAGCACCCACTGCTGCAGGGATGCTTGTCCAGAGCCCTTTGGGGGGTCAGTGGCTACATCACTCCTCAAGCACATCGCAGTCCCTCTTCTCTTCAAGATGGATTCTGTTAGGAGCTGCAGTGACAGGAAAAGGGACAATGGGTACAAATTGAATGAGGGAATTTTAGGCTAGACATTAGGCAGAAGTTTTCCCTGTGAGGGTGGTGAGACACTGTCCCAGGTTGCCCAGGGAGGCTGTGGCTGCCCCAACCCTGGCAGTGTTCACAGCCAGGTTGGCTAAAGCCTTGAGCAACCTGCTCTGGTGGGAGGTGTCCCTGCCCAGGGCAGGGGGGTGGGGCTGGGTGATCTCTAAACTCCATTCCAACCCCTAAAATTCTATGACTCTATGATTTCTGCTCTCCAGCACAAACAATGTGAAAAATGCTCAGCTCAGACCAGCAATCTCCAGCCTTAGTATAACCACAGACTCCAACCCTGTAAATGACTACATCATTGCTTCAAGATAAGGCAACATCTTCTCAAACACACAAATCTTCATAAGTGTCTTTCTCATGAAACAACTGAATTTTGGGGCAGTACCATTAGTCAGTGAACCAGTGAGCCCAGGCTGCACAGCTAGCTATGGAGAGCTACGTGAAGTCCACCTTGCTGCTAGACACTTCCACAGCTGGAACACATTCTGGACATTACTGGGAGTTCAATAATTTTATTAAAGATATTCTGTCAGGGTATGGCCCCAATAAAGTGCACTGAAATGGCAATATATCATAATCTGGACTTCTTCATCAAAAAAAAAAAAAGATTTTTTTCCTAAGCCTTCAGAGTTTTGAGCAAACAGCAGTGAAGCTTAATGAAAACTCGCCAGCATGCCCAAGTTCCACACAAATTACTTTATTCCATTACTTCAAGCCAAAAGGAATAAAGATGAACAAGAAGCAAGGGGAATATTAAACCAAATGCACTGCTGGAAGTGCAGAAAAGTCTCTTATTCTGAACACCCAATTCCAGCTCTAAATGGCTTTCACTGCCCAATGCGGTAGAGATTCCTGGACACTTATAAACAGATTATAATGAGTTTCAAAATGAAGACTTGGGTCAATTTCAATGGAAAAATTAAAGAAACAAACAAAGCTAAATTAAACTCCGGAGAAAGGCACTGGGCTGGTATTTTCCCATCTCATTCATCTGAAAGGGAAGGCACACCAGAGATTAGAGAAACACCCAAAACAAAACTAGAACACCTGGGCAGCACAGCTAAATTCAGAGATTAACTTCTTCACCCAACCCCTTTGGCCACCACAAGTCCCAGGAAAACGCAGTGCAGAGAATAGTGAACTCCACAGCTTGAACCCACAGCACTCCTGAGCATAAGAAGGCAAGGGAAAACAAAGGCTAGACCCCAAAAAATATTAAGAGGAATCAACATAAGACACAGGACATTTACACAAGCCAAAGAGATGG